TTAAGGTAAAGAAAATGAATAAAAAGGAAGCAATATTGAGAGTACCACTATTAGCATTTATTGAAGAAAAGGAACTTTGCACAAATTATAAGACAAACTAAAAGATATCAGTAAAGATTATAGCAAATAGTCTCGAAAGTGCAATTATACAAAAAGTAGTAGAGAATAAAAGGATCAAAAGAGAGCTAGTAGATATATACGAGAAGCTAAAAGAAGAGAAGATTATTAGGTATTATACTGACAGGGTGCTAGCAGGAAGTAGTAAAGAACTAGAATCTGGTAGAATAAAAGCTGATTAAGTAGTTAGAAACATGAAAGAGACAGATAATAGGATTAGTTTTAGTTGTAGTATAGAAAACTGGCCTTTATCAACTCGTGCAGAATTAGGAGCTATATAGGTAGCTTTGCTTATAGCACCTTATAAAGTTCAAATACATATATTCACTGATAGCAAAGCAGCAATAGAGGCTATTGAAAAGTATATGAGTAACAACAAGTTAAGAAGCTAGTTCAAAATGAAAAACAGAAGTTTATTAAAACAGATAAAAGACTGCTGCATTGCAAAAAGTCTAAAGTTATAATTACATAAAGTTAAAGGTCATAGCAATAACAAATAAAATGAGCAAGCAGACTACTTAGCTAAAGAAAGTATCAGAAGAACTAATATACTCAAAGTACTCAAGATAACACTAGATAATATCTAAGCTATACCAAAGTGGAAAGATCAAATAATAGATAGCTCGCTCAGGTTATTCATAAATATAACAATTGCAATAACATATGAAACAGAATGGGCTGAACTAAGTAAAGCAGCAGATATCATAGCTTTAAACCAAGGAGTTAACTATAGCAATGAGCCAATTTGGAAAAATACTTAGAAAGCACTTAAGAAAAGACAAAGAAAAAAGTGTATCAGTCTAAAAAAAAGCAAAGACCTCATGTTCTATATAAAATATATTAATGATATTCTACTAATGAAAGACATTTGCTATTTGAGAAACCCCAAATTATACAAGAGCAAAAGATGTATAGCTTGTCTTAGAAAGGACAAAACCTTGTATTATCTAGCCGAATACGAAATCTACTAAAAAATATGGAGAAATTTAGAAGAGGAAACTCTTTAACTAACAAGTCTCAAAGTATTAACAAAGTTAGATCTATTACTTGAGGATAATGTATTAAGGAAGATACTCTACAATACAGACCCAGAGGAGAAGATGATATCAGAAAGATGCATCTTAGAAGCCTTACAAATAGGAAACAATATGCAGATATATACAAGATAGTGCAGTCCAAAAGCAAGGCAAACAGAGTATTAATAAGCTTTATTGAACAATTCTAGTCTTGTTTCTACGAACGACTATGGAAGTTCAGGTATGAAGTAATAGTTAAATGGAAAAAAGAAAACAACATCACAAATAAAAAGAAAAAAAGAAAAAAGATAAGAAAGAAAAGAAAAGAGAATATATCTCTTACAAATGTAACAAGAGAATCAAAGAAGGAGAAAGAAACAAAAACTCAAAAAGAAGCTTCAGATAGAGTTAATAAATAGGTAAAGTTTGGTGGTAAGGAAGGATGGTTAAGATTCAAAATAAATTAGGTGATTTTGATATAGACTAGTAGCAGCCTCTTATTGACTAAGAGCTAGAAATTTGTATATACAAATTTAAACTCTTACAAGAGAAATAGTTGCTGTAGCAGATCATACTTAGGTGTTGAAAAGTAACTGAGTGAGTTTTGAATAGTTTTAGAAGAGTAGTTTGCTGTAAATAGTATAGCATCTTACTTGTAGCTTAATTTAGCTTATTCTTAATAAAATGATAGGTAAGATCATCTAAGTAAAAAAAAAAAAAAAAAAAAAAAAAAAAATAGTAATATTTACTTGATATAGAAATGCATCATCATATATTCTAAATAAATAAACTTTATACAAAGATTTAAAATAAATTTCATCCTAAAAATAAAATAAATAATTATTATATATTATTTATAATTAAATTTTTATAAATTTAATAAAATAATTTACTTCTTGTTGAGATGAATATGGTAATTGAATTTGTTATGCATAATCCTAAGAAAGATAAACTATAATATCTAAAGAATTAGGTTTACCAGAACATATTATATTTTTAATTCTAAATTTTTGAAATTTCTTAGTTTTTCAAATAATGCTCATATTACTGTATTAAAATACAAGTTTTATTCATATATTTTTGCTCTGAAATTAAATTTACAGTTTATAAATAAAGAAAAAGTAAATAGGCATGTTGATTACTTTTATTTATAATACTATAAAATGCAGTGTATTTGAATCAGGTATATTACAACAGTGGTATTTTGTTAGAGACTCGAATGCAGATTTAATATATTATATATTTTTTTATAATAAACTAATATAACTTTTTCACAAAATACCTCAAGTAAGATATCCACTGCCATATAATTAGTGATATGCTACATACAGTACTATACGTACTATATGCAAAAATTCTTGTCGATCACTTCAGAGTGAATTCTCCTAATCAAACAGATTACTAAAAACAACTATATGCACTATATGAACTGTATGTACTATATGTACTATACGCAAAAAAAAATTCTGTATCATATAAATAGCATATTACTGCATACAATATACCTAGAATATGAATCAAATTTCGATTATGTGGAATATAAAATACCTAGGTACCTTGTACTACGATTTACAGTCACTTCGTTCTTGCACTTTTTTTATAATTTTTTATTCTTTTTTTTTTTTGATGTGTCATGCAAATATGAGATATAATTTTTTGTATTAAATTTTAAAACATTTTCAAAGTTACCAACTAAATTAACATAATAAGAAACAGATATAATGAACAAAGTATTTTAGAAGTTAAATTAATATTGATAAAGAAAAATTCGATAAAAATTGAAATAGTTTCTTAAATATCTTAATTAACAGATAATTGTTTTATTATGCTTATAGACTAGGAATATGAGAAATCCAATCTGGTCTGTACTCAACTCCAAAAGTTGAGTCTTAAGTTCAGTTCTAAGTTGAACTTAGAATTTTGACTTGAAACTTTATGTGGTATTATATAAGAACTTAATATTTAAATTTTCATATTTTACTTTTAATTTTTGCAAAATTTAAATAGATACATACTTAGTTATGTGCCACATACAATACTATATGTACTGTACTGTACGTACTGTATACTAAAAAATAAAATTAAAAAAACATAAAAATGCACGTTACTATACACATCTCTAATGATTTAATATTTGAGAATCAAATTTTGCAAAAACCAATTTTATAGTTTTACAAGCAAAGTTACAAAGTCATTTTTCTCATTTAAATATAAACAAAAGATTTAGTTCAGCTAAATTTTTAAATTCTTCAAGTTTAGAAGAAATGGCTTCGCAACTTCATTTGTAAAGTTATAATATTAGTCTTTGCAAAATTTGGTCCTAAAATATTAAACCATTAGAGCTATGCATCTATTTAATTTTTGCGAACAATTATAAAATAGTATTCTATATCAAATTTTGGATATTAAGTTTTTATATAATACTATATATAGGTTTGATTTGTATAGTATATCATGTACTCAGTGTATCTAGTACTATATATATATATATACCTCTATGAATTAGACCTAGTTGTGAGCTACTAAATCCCTATTAATAAAATGTATTTTTTTTAAATAACAAGACTGCCCATTATAAATACTAAATGTGTATGTACTTTAAAACTTTTTCCTTTTACAACATACTCTTTAGGCATATACTAGACCCAGGTCTACTAAAAAGTTTTAAAATTTGTAGAATGAAACAGACCTGGGTCTTGTATACGCATATATACATATGTTTAAATATAGAATTAAAACGTGAATATATACAAAATATGCATAAATACATATTTTTCATACTATATCGAAATATACTAGTTCTTTATTTTCAAAAATAAGAGGAGTTCAAACTCATATTTTTATTTTAAAATTCTGAAATCAGAAAATGAAATAAGATATCAGATCATTAATTATGAATCAATACGAGTTGAAGTTCTAAGTCTAACTTGGAACTGAACTTTAACAAAGACTCAACTTTTAAAGTCCAGTCAAGGTCAGACTGAACTTTTTAAATTCTTATTATAGACTAATTAAATAAATAATTGTTATAATTATTGATTGAGATTGTTTTAAATATCTCTTTCAATGTAATTGGCTAATGATTAAAATGTTGCAGTTGATTGATGTAAAAATAATGATCAATACTTGATCTATTTCATTTCGTTTTTTTAATTGAGGCTTCAGAAAAAAAAGGTAATTATAAATATACTGTGTTTGTAAATTTGGTAGTTTAGAAAGTTGAATTTAAAACTAAAATAATAATTGCACATGTCACTACAGTAAATTAGAATTGAAATCATGATAATTTTAATACAAACCTCAACTACATATACTAACTCATAGATTAATTCGCAAATTAAGCTGCAGGTTAACATGCAGGTTAATCTGCAAATTGATCTACATACTTGTTCTGCTCAGATTAATACTTTGAGCCTTTTTAGCAATATCTGTATTGTTACTATAAATAGATACAGTATACTAAAGCAATATCCTGCTATGGCAATGTAGAAAGTTTAATTTAGTTTTAGTGACTTTTACACATAAAATTCACTAATTAAAAAAATACACTTCCAAATTTTATATACATACATGAATCACTAAAAAAGGCCTTTATATATGGTATGCATTATTTCATAGTATACATGCGATAAGAGTTGTTTTGCTGTTTTCAAAAGATATGATTTTATAAAATAACGCCTATACCTGTTATTTCACTACGTACAATATTATAGTAATTAAATTATTTGTGTAATGATAGCTAGCCCTATTTCAATAATTATTATTAATAAAGACCAGAATTAGCTTTTAAATTTATTAGTTACTAAAATTCTGATTTTAAATATAAGTTTTATGATAGCAATAGCATAGAGTTTCGATAATGCAAAAATGAATTTACTATATATATTAGTCTCATCAATTGTTTTAGAAACATATTCAGAAATTGGTTCACTAACAGAAGACTTTAATCAACTTCAAAGATTTTATCAAAGTGAAAAAGATTATGAAATCGAAATAAAAAATGTGTTAGAAACAAATGAACTTGTTCCTGAAAATACTGATAATATAGACGATAATGAAGAAACACAATATTTCGATAATCAAGTCCTTATTTCATCAAAATCAAAAAATTTCAAAAAATATTTTTACAGAATACTATTAAAGAAAATAATGAAGAGCAAGAAGCTAGTAAAAAAGTAACTACTCTTTTAGATCAACAAGACAAAGATACCTTTATTCATAAACTCTATACTACAATCTGTTGTAAAACTAGAATATGTTTGTTTAAAATTGATCATTAAGCTATATTTAAAGTTTTTGACAATATTCGAAAACTATTAAAATCTGAATACAATATGCTTTTATTAGGAATGCTTCATACAATGACTTATTCAAATAAAATATTACATAGTAAAGAAAAACAATACTTAACTATTAAATACATATTTGATGAAATGAAATTTGTGAAAAAACATTTCTAACAATATACTCACTATCTAATAAAAAATGAGATAATATTCATCAGCATTATCATACGGATGGTATTAAATCTATTAAATATGCACTTGGAGTCTGGCACCTGTAGCTTAGTGGTTAAGCTGCCAACCCTTCATAGACAAGGTCAATGGTTCAAGACCGACTGGAGGCGAAAAATACTCTGTAACCTTATTTAAGAAGTCAATAGTCGAATGCGAAGCCCTGTAAGAAGTCCAAGTGAAGTACGACGTTCAGAATAGGAATTATTGGAAGTGGCTCTATCTTGTAGAGTAATGGCACTACATGTAACATCAGTGTCACAGAAGTTGGTTATACAGTAGTACGAAAAAGTAAATCCATATTGGCAAGAGTATAGCAGGAACTAACATCATTACATAGTGTAATGGAATTGCTTGGAAGGGTTACATGATAACTAACTGAGTAGTGAGAGAAGCAGGGATTACACAAAATATGATTAAGTGATAAGATATCGGCCATACCGAATACAGAACACCTCTGGCAAACACAAAAACTTAAAAGGGTAGATTCCTGCTACAGAGTAGGAGGTTCATATACTGAGGACATGTAATAATCTGAAATGGCTGGAAGCACCGAGCTGGTAGTAGCAATACGACAAAGTACACAAGGGCGTACTAACATTAAATACCAACCTCTTCTAAAGAAAGCTAGAAGTAGTACTATGTATTACAAACCTAGTTGGAAGTAATCTTTAGATTATGAAATATAGCCTGTACTTACTAACACACAGGAGTTCTCAAAAAGGTATATGAATATAGCATGTGAACACAACTCGACATAATGTAAGTGCTTTTGTATCTCAGCATTATGTAAATATTGATAACAGATATCCTTAAGCCAGAATACCCAATCAGGAAGTGACCATGAGGATTACGATGCCAAAATATCTGTAATGGATGACTACCTATTAGGAAGTAGCTTTGTGCAAGCATGAGAGATGTGAGAAATGTAGTAAGAACCTTAAACAGATAAGTCATAGTGTAACAAAACCTAGAATAATATAAATACAGGTTATAAAGTCTTAGTCAAGTATATCTCGAGGATAAATTAGTTCTAAGGTTGCATAT